AGTTACGGTGGATTCACTTGAAGTTACAACGGATTCACTTGAAGTTGAAAAGGTATAGTTTTTCCTAGCGTATAGTAGACTGGAACAGCTGAGGAATATGCGTGAATGGTGAAGTCTAAAGGATGGTCAGTTTTAATCAATCAATTATTATTAATTATCCCACAACACTACTCACAAGTAACTGTAAGTTAAATGCGAATGATTATGATAATGCAATGAATACAAATGTGAAAAATACAGATTTTACTCTTTGCTACATTCCGAATGTACCCATAAGGATTGGTATTGTTCTATATAACGTACCTGTTTTTGGACTTCTAGGATAACCTGTTCAATAAACCGTGGCACGTTCAACGGATGCTGCATTTGGATAGCATTTCGTTCACGAGCAGAGTAGACCAATTTTTCCCAACGATCTGTATCTGGATCATATTGACCCGGACCGACTCTATGCTCCGGTTTGTAAAGTGGTTGCCTTTCACTGGTCTGTCAAAGCAGCATGAGAAGCTGGGGATTTTGATTTTTCAAAAAAGTCATGAATTCTTTCATTGGAAACAAGCAAGACACACTATTTCATCTGCCAGGCAACAATTGGAACAGAATGGAATCATTGGTTAGGAAAAACGCTGACAAATTAAAAAAAATGAAAATAAATTTTGGAAATATCATGATAACAAAAGGAGAAAGACATGAGATTTTCACGGTTTTTAAATTTTTATTCAATTACATTTATGACTGATCAACGATAGAGCAACTGCTCACTAAAACGACATTTTTTGTGAGCTGTTCAATGGGATAGCATCTGAGTCAAGATGAAGAGTAAAATTACTAGTCCTTGATTTTAATTTTTCTGTCAGGTTTTCACACTTATGTTCAACCAAGCCCAAGTTACTTTTCATCCGTAAAGGATGGTAATTTTGCAAACCCACGAAAGCTCAAGTACTAATAGTATGCATACACAGCTTTTATCTATTTTCCAGTTTGTGTTCTCTTATAGCAATCGTTTTCAACTACTTACTGTTTATGAGTAATATAACGAGGAATGCAAAAGCTCTGACATCATCCACTATTGCGACTCGTCTGTCGATGGGTGTTAGCCACCGACGTATAACGGCGAAACCATTTAGATAACTCACAACCATATAATTCTGTAAGCTATTGAAAAAAAGAACAAGTCGATCATGATATCAGTTCATGGGGAATGGGATCGGTGGTATAGGGAAATTCGCCCAGATACTGGAATTCGTAAACCATGGTTGCTCTAAACAGGTGCTTGTATACGGTAATTAACACTTCATCAGATCATTGCCAAGAAGATACATAGCATCAAAAATAATTTTGCGTGAAAACTTGAGCCGTACTTTGATACGTACTGATCGGTTCAATTCAGTTTAAATCTTTTAAAAAAATTAATTTAGGGGATCTGGTAGTTATTCGAATGCGATGGAAATGTTTTGTGATAACCGCCAAAGAGCAATGGATAGCTGTTTTATCCTGTTTAGGACTCGTCAGCATTGCATAAGTTTTGTATCCCTATCAATACTCAAACCGCTAACATTTGTGTCGGGACTTCAAACCCTTACCCCTGAGCTACACGGTGGACGGTCATCTCCATGTGTGAGTATCAAGCTATCAATAGTGCCTGGTGCGTCTGAACAATCGAATGAGCCAATCCAAGCTTGATACTCTAGATCTGATAGTGAAGTTAGTCTTTATACGGCAAACCCGGAAAGCCAAAGGTAGAAAGAATTCATCAAATGAGTAAAGCTTTCAACTAAGTTTATCAGATTAGAAGATGTGTTTAAGTAAATAAAGAAAGTTTCCTAATTTTTGTGAAAAACAACATTGAGTTTGTTTTACAAATGCAGATTTTAGCGTAAAATAACCTCAAAGTATTGTGAAAGTTATAGAGTTAATAACACAGCGATGTCGGTAGAGAATTATATTCGCCGACGTTTCGGTTACCGTGGGTAACCTTTCTCAAGGCAGGTTTTTNGGTTTTTACAATCAAATGACTCAAGGGAATCATCACAAGTTAACGGATATTTCATCATGTGTGTGTGTGTCTCCGTGTATGTGTGTATGTGGCGAGCTCAATGATTCGTCGTCTGTCATACTAACTCCCATTCTCAGATGGGGTCAAGTGGCACCGTGACCTGTATCTGTATACTTAAAAGCCTATAGACGGTATAGAAAATTGATTAATTCGATTGCAGAACTAAAAAGCATTGCGTTCAATCATTAAAACAGTAAACGGTAAAAGAGCAACTGTAATTATGGGATCTGGATCATAAATGCTTATAGAAAAAGTAGTAACTGACAATGAAACTTATTTAAAAAGCTTGGATCGTTATTTTTCTCTGTTCTTTGAAAGTGTAAAGCGCCAGCCGAGATAACATCGAAAGTGATTGTGAAATGCTGCTACTCTGCTTTTATTCACTCGCTTATATGGCGATTTATTTACTGCAATATTTTGAATTCCTCGTTTATATTGTTTACAACCTAGTTTTTTCGTTGAACAAGCATGAAGGGGGAGGGTGTTTTTTTCCATCCGGATTAGGGGTGTTCGTTCTGTTGTCAGGTCATGACGTGACCTCTGTTCTGTTGCGTCATTTAACTATTGAGCCTTATCTTCTTGTACACGTGATCCAGTTCGATGAACCTTTTCAATAGTTGATAGTGTCGTAAGGTACTGCCCACATTTGTGAGTAGCATGTAAAATAGTTAGTAAGTTCTTTCGGTGATCAAAAATAAACAAGAACTGTTTCAGCAAAGTTCTGCTGTTCAACGTGGTGAATAAAAGAATGCGCATCTGACAGTGGACCGTCTCATTGTTTATCCTGTGTGGTTGCTGTAATTATGCAAACTTGTTCCAAATGAGATATTTTGTTGTTGCATGACAATTTTGCTATATCCTGGCCGTTATTGGCAATAAACAAATTCCGTCGACCAAGCACCGCCTTGTGGAATGCTAACGATGGTAGAGAGCCAAGACTCAAGCATGGTTTCAATGAATTTGGTCAATGAAAACACACTAGATGGGACAAATTGGCAGAAAACCATCAACAAAAATCCGTGAACAACAGTCGGCAATCAGATGTGACTCATTTCCATTTATTTCACTCCATGATGAGCAAGAAGGACACAAACGCGACTTAGAATAAGTGAAAATCATTGACCCAACCCGGTGGAAACACGTAACAGAACTTCCCGAGGTTTAGGTTCCTTCGAGAAACTCAGTGAGCTGAAGCATCGAACAGAGTAATGGGCACACGTCGATTAAACTCAAGCACTGAAGATATCTCATTAGAAACCAGGGACAAATGACTCGAATTACGCGAAATATTTTGCAATATTTTGTCAGGTCATAACTTATTGGGAATACTTTCAATGTGTTAGATAAACTGCCACTTAATTGCCCAAAAACTAGGTATCATATGAGATTTAACATCTATTATGCAACGGTATGAGTGCGCGAGAGAGGAGGACTCAAAGACACTGCTCACTAACGTGTTTTGACCAGCAGCACCCTTTGTAACGAGTAAAAGTGGGAAGTTTTGTTGTTCCATAATAGGCTGGTCCAATAGTTTGGTCTTGTGGGGGTCCAAGTTGTGGTCGTAGTCTTCCATCTGGACCTTCTTGGTAACCATTTTTGAACGGTCCCGAAGGAATGCTGGGAACATCCCGAGACCGCATGAAGGGGACTCCAGTACACTACAAAGGAATAGTAATACGGGTTTTAAATTTTAATGCCATACATAAATCTTTGCTGCGGTAAGTCATTAATATGTATTGTATTCTTTTAGTTGTGCAGTAATGTAAGTTATTTTCGTACTCAGAACTTTTACTTATCTATCGCATTTTACCGTGATTACAATTTAAATAGAAACAGAGTTCATGCGATTCGGTTAGAACAAAATGTCTATTTGAGATGGCCTTTGTATCCATCCTGTTAATATCCTTTAGTTGTCAGGGTGCTAAGTAAACAACTATTCTGTGGTATGTCAGCCTCATACAGAACTTTGGATGTAGCCGCATTGTTTCATGCGTGCGTGCACAACTATCTCCGTCAAAGCAGAATTGCTCTAATCATCATCACCACCATCACCATCACAAAGATTAAACCATTTGAACTAGGTTTCCAATGGCAGCAGAAAGCGATAAAGTAATTGGATGATTCAGCCGCACGCTCTATGTGTAGGGTTCAAATATATGCGTGCGATATTAAAGTGGTTCTTAGAAGTAAGTATGATTCGTGTGTGTATGTGTAGGTGTGTTGATGTAATTCACTTTTCACTATAGTACGACATGACCTTGACTTTGCTTTAGCTGCAAACGAAATTAATCAATTGTATTGACATAGACTATTATAAAATTAAAATAAAAACGAGACAATGAAATCTATCTGCCATATACACCCTTATTTCAAAGACAGTATTTGAAGAAAGATAACAATAGCAAAGAAAATCGATTCGAGCTATCAAGTGAAACTAGTATGCATGCTACACGGTGGATAAATGAAAAGTGATAGCATTATGATTTTTCCCAATCCAATCTATAAAAATGGAGATGGAACTGCAACACTGGAGACGACATTTAATCAATTTTGGCACATTTTTCTACCTAGATTGTGTTGGAATTAACGGCAAATTGTTCTACACTGCCTCCGATGGCTTGGTCACGCATTACATATGCCTGCCCATCGAGTACCTTTCTGTGCTCTCTTTGCACATGCTGGGCAAGGCTGGAAGAAGCGCCGAGGCGGTCAGAACATAACATGGGCCAGAGGCATGAAGAAGCTGGCTTCAGCTCTAGCTTTGGTTGGTACAGCCCGCCTTCCAGGTTGGGGCCCAAGGGGTGAGGGTTATCGTTGGTTAGGGACTCTAAGAGATATGGCCCAGAGTAAAAGTCAGCAGCGCGAATGCTGTACTGTTTGCCTGTTGAAGTCCGGTGCCCCATAATAAACGATAAACTAACACAAAACTATCAAAAAATGTGCGGTGAAACACAAAATAATCTTTACTCCATTTATTTGCAATTTTCCATTTTATCAGTTTCGCCTTTTTCTTATGTTCTGTATCCCGTTGCTATTATTGTTATCAAATCAAGAAGATGTCCCAGCTACTATCCGATAAGAAGAAATTTGACAATGGGCCCGAAGACAAAGACAACACTGCACATATAGAGAAACAAATCGTGAATCGTCGCAAATTCTTAAAGGATCAAGGGTATATAGACCAATCCGTCCGAGTTCGACGCAATAAAGCCGTCTGGATCAACCATTCCACGCCATTACGGGTTACCTAAGGTTCACAAGACTGGTGTATCATTAAGACCAGTTCTATCTAGGGTCAACTAACCGTACCACCAGACTGCAAGTGGCTCGTAGGAATTCTCGAACCAGTTTGTACAACGCTTGAAAAATACAGCCTGCGAGACACATTTGAGTTTGTGAGCATTATCAGCCAGCGAAAACTAGTGATTAA